AAGTTGAATGAAAATCATTTAGTTGGCAACATAAATAAAAAGGTTGCTAACACTATCATAGTAATCTTTACTTGACTAAAGTTCATATTTTGTTGCTAAAGAGTGACAAAAAGTGTACCAGTCTCTGGTGCAATGTTAACAGCACATCCCAATTCTTCTACATGATAAAGAGATGATGCTGTAGTAAATTAAAGAATACAGGCCCAGACTGTCTTGTTAATTTACAGATAATGTCCTACTTGTTTATTTTACTGTGAATTTTTCTGTCATTTAATTGTTTATCTGCTATTTCACTACTTTGGTGTAGCATGAAGGCTGTGGGGGAGGTCTTTATAAGTAGGAAAAGTTGTAAAATTCATGAAAATACAGTTAGACGTCCATAATTTACGCCCTGGATGAATTGGGGTCTTTGCCTTATGTTTGTCACCTGATGTAGACCATAGGAGGCTACAACTGTTAAATCCAAGGTCTTGTAAATGTTTGCCTCTTCCACCTTTCACCCCTCAACAGGTGTTCGGAGGCATGTTTATATTTGTGCAGATGAAGAGACCAGCAAACCTTTGGAGGAACATGACTGTTCAACACCCCGCCCAACCACACCGCTCTACACAACTTGTAATCTTGCACCCTGTCCCCCCAGGTTGGGTTCATACTCATTCGCTTCTTTTGACATACAGTGCTCAGCACAGACTAGCACATGTAAAATGTACTATTTTACAGATGGACTGCAGGGACGTTTGGACCTTGTAGCGCCTCTTGTGGTGGGGGAGAAAGAGTGCGTCCTGTAAGGTGTGTTCAGAAACATGGATCTGATGTGGTGAAGGTTCCAGATTCCAAATGTCCACCTGATACAGCTCCGCACGCTATTGAAAAGTGTAACCTGCAGCACTGTCCTGCCAGGTATGACGTCTGCATTGTAATGCTGATTATTAGATTCACAGAGTATGAACAGTTAAAATCGTAAATCTTCTGTCTGTGCGTTTACAGATGGCACGCGTCAGAGCCAGGGGATTGTTCGGCAATCTGCGGGCCAGGAGAAGCAAAACGGATTGTATCGTGCGTCCGACCTGAAGGTGGCGTGGATGTTGAAGTCGATCAAAGTTTTTGTTCAAAGCAGATTAAACCCCCCGATTCTGTGCCCTGTGTGGTAGACGTGTGTCCCATTGGGTGGGAATCAGACCGAGAGGTAAAATCAACAATAACTTGAACTCCAGTGTTTTTTAAAAATGTGAAACATCTCTACAATTGTTGTCTTTCTTGACCAGGAACAACCCAGTCTAAAGTCTGATTTGTTACCACGCTCTAGTCAGCCTCGTGTGTATGTGTGGAGCCCTGTTATTAGCCCGTGTTCAAAGACCTGTGGCAATGGTAAGTCCTCCTTTAGTCAGAAACAGTGCTGTCTACTCAGATGTAGTAACTGAAAGCCCACTGATTATGTGCTGTAGGAACTCTGCAGGTGTGGTTTTCTTGTGTGGACCATCAAACCACACTGGGAGTGCCTGACTTCCACTGTGATGCCTCTACTAAACCTCATCCCAAGTCTGAGATATGCAGCACTTTACCCTGCCCTCCTATGTGAGACACTGTAGTAACCATAGCGATGTGTAGAAAGTAGGATGCAGATTTGAAATAAATGTTTTAAAATTACAGGATATTTTTCTTGTAACAACCAGGTGGCGCTCTAAGCAAGGAGTCTGCAGTGTTACGTGTGGAGGAGGGGTAGCAAACAGGGTGCTGTACTGTGCTCGGGAAGCAGAAGGGGAGGAGGTGGTTGTGGAAGATTCGGAGTGCAGTAACTTTCCCAAGCCCACAGCAGTGGTATCATGTAACACTCACAGCTGCCCAGCAAGGTGAAGATCACACAAAATGCAAACCTGAAATCGATTTCTGCAACAGCAAAAAAAATAATCAACTCCCCACCACTGTCACTTGGCCAGGTGGAAGGTATTCGGGACGTTACCCTGCTCAGTCTCCTGTGACCTAGGTGTAGCTCAGAGGGTTGTGTCTTGTGTCCAGTTTATCCACGGCAAGGAGAGCGTGGTGGCAGAGGAAAACTGCCATGCAGCTGTCAAACCAGCCATCACAGTGCCCTGCTTGGTGCAAGTCTGCACCTTTAGGTGGGAGGTGAAGCCGTGGAGCCAGGTACGTCACAAGATGAGGATGGCTATTAGATAGAAATGGGATGAAATAATTTCTTTTGAACCTGTTTTTTTTCTCCCCTGTCCACTGCTTCGCTGAATACCGAGCACTATATTGATGTCTCATTAAGCGTGATATTGCTAACATTGTGAAATTTCCTTGTCATAAGTGTTGTGTTTCTCTCAAGTGTTCAGTATCCTGTGGCTACGGTATCCAATCCAGAGCTGTGTCCTGCATGGGCCCCTCTAAGCCAGATCCCCTCAGCCCCCTGATTTGCATGCACATGCCCAAGCCAATCACCATCCAGGGCTGCTACACGGGCAGCTGCAGAGATGTGCCATCCACATCAGATACACCCACTCCTCTGCATTCCACTCTAAGCCCTAAAAACATATCACAGCCAAGCATACACCAACTTTCTCCTAGTCCAACAGAGGCCTTCACCATCCCAGTGACCCCAGTGGCTGCCACAACACTCACTCCAACCCATAAATCAAGTCAGTAGGCATAAATACTTTAAGAGCTCACGAAGAACCGAAGGCAAAGCATTATTATTAATATTATAACATCTGCTCCTGTCTAGGTGCATGTGGACAGCTACTGCTGGAGGAATCAGGCACAGTGGATTTGACTGATGTGACAGATCGCTGTGTGGTATCCATAGGCCGACCCTTGGATGAGGTCATTCACATTATAGTGGTGTCCAGCTCCCTGGACTGCAGAAAAAGTTGGTTCTATTAATAACACTAATACTGCTACTCTCTGTGTAAAGGCCGCTGCAGCAAAGTAAATGCAACTCTGCGTGCGTTTTTACAGAGGAGTACGTGGCATTTTTCGACCGACTGGCATTTATGAGGAAGTGCGCACATGTGGGAGGTACTGAACTGACCACCAGAACAAATGTCCTGCTGGTGCGTCAAAATCTGCTCACGCCAGGGAGCGGGGTTGTGTTTACATACAGTTCACAGAAAAATAAGAAGAGGAGCCACCATCAAGGTAAGACGGTGCTTGAACAGAACTAGGAATGTTTTGCAGAAGGAATGAAGAAGGATTGTCAAATATCATGAAAGATAGGATTATGATTAATAAAAGAGCATCCTTCATTTGTTGTTTGAGTGGATGCAGCAACAAGTGAATTTAAACTTAATTAACAGAGATTTGCAAGCCTGTACACAAGTCTTAAGCCATCCCTCACTACTAACTAGCGTTTACGTGTGTGTCACTCTCTTTCTACAGGGGGGCACAGCGGGGTCATGTTAGCAATCCATTAAAATTTACATTACATCCACCGCGATCTTCAACTGAAGTTAAAGTTAATAATTTGGTTGAAAATTTACAAAAAGCAATACAAATTAGAAACTATGATTCTTTGGTGGTGTGCATTGTCGACATATATAAACTACCATACTAAGATTTAAAATATAATGTCTCATTTGACCTCTGACCTCTCCTTAAAGCTTAATAGATTGATTTGAAGGTCAAAATGATTTAAAACAGCCGTATATTTCTTACTGCCTTTGTTTACATTGACAACATACGGGCAAATAGGGAAAGATATGTGGAAATTTTAAATAGCATGTTACTTTGGACCGCCGACCTCTTGTTTGACGTCAAACTGTCCAGTCATTAACAAATCAATACCTATTATCCATTACCTACTCCTAAATAACAAAAGCCTGCACTTTGCACTTGTTTTTACTTGAATACATTTGTAGTGCAGTATGTTTAAAAAGAAGAAAGAAAACTAATTAATACATACAAAATTCATTTACTATTTCCTTAAAAGTAAATACTGCCCAGAGAGTGAGCTGACTGAGGTTTGCACTCCTATTTTCCTTCCAAAGAGTCGGATGTATGTGTAATTTTCAAAAGTCATCATGAGGATAAACTGGAGGAAAGTGGAATCTGCTGTTCACTGAAGCCTCATTAAAAATGCTCTCAGTGGAAGAGTGGCTTTCAAGAAGCAATTCTTAAGAAAGGGAAACGTGGAGACAATTTGGAGCTATGCCAACTTAAACAAGAAATGGACTGATGAGCAGTGACAGCAGGTCTGAATCTAAACCAGAACTATTTAGTTCAACTTATTGTCAGCATGTCAGAGGTCAGCAGAGAGGTGAAACAGTGAATCGTGGATTCACCTCCCCAGAGCTGGGACCTCAACATTATTGAAGCAGTGTGGAATTATTTTGGCAGACAACAGATCAAAACTTCCAAAGAAAAGCTTTGAATTTCCTTCAAGAAGCCTGAAGAACTATTCCTGAAGACTACTTTAAATTAAAAGAAAGCTTGCCTAAGAAGGTTTAGGCTGTGTGGAAGAATAAAGGTAATAATACCAAACCTAATTTGAAATGTACAAGCACTGTTTTATACCTTATATAGAGTATATATTACACGTGTGCATGTTTGCACATCTTCAGTAAATTTTGACACCTATTTCCCCATTTTTCCTAACAAAATATCAAGGAGTGAGGTTTGGCTCAAGACTTTTGCACAGTACTGTATGATGCAGTGAGAATACTTCCAGTCTAACGCAATCATAAACAAAAGCCCTGCAATACATAACGTCAGATGAGAATACTGTAAGTTTTTTACGCTTTTGCCTTGGATAGAGTGAGACTGTTTTAAGATTTCCAGCTATATGTGCTGTTTTTTTCATATCCTTTCCATCCACCATACACGTGGGAAGGACGTGATATTTTAGCTATGAACAATCAATTCACAGCTATAATATTCCTTGTAGACAACTGTAAATTTTATTGCAATTGCACAAAAACTGCACACAGACTATAGTGATGATAACTTGTTAACCAACGATCCAATGCGCCTCATATTTGCCCCTCAGATTGTGACATTCAGCTGTTCTCCCCCAGCGGTGTGTTTGAGAATCCAATAACGTCCAGCACTAACCACACCTGTCGAGTGCTCATCAACGCCCCTCCCTCAGTGAAGATCAGAATCCAAGCACTACACATAGGATTAGTATTCAACACCACAAACTCCCAGTCTACATACATAATGGTGCGAACAAGCTCTCTAACATGTGTTGGTTCAATATGCTGTATATCTTACAAGGGCAAAAAGCGCACGAGTATAACTACTGCAATATTCTTGTTGTGTTGTTCAGATCCGGGACAAGGATGTTTTAAAGACCAACGTGTTTAAAGGTAACCAGCTGTTTCAGTGGCACTCATCGGGAAATATGGCTGAGGTTGAATTTCACGGAGACTACCTGCATTCTGAAGGAAGCTTCAGAGCTCGATATTCATTTGTGCGCCTTTGATACCAGATACTGTTTTTGACAATGTTCACTTGTGCTCTGTTGAGAAGAAAGAGTTAAAGGTATAATATGCAGCAGTCATCAGTTATGTGATTTCTATAAACTGAACACAACATTTATATTTGGCCCCTCCTATCTGGCTCCACAAAGCGAGAGGGAGGAGCGGTGCTCACGCGAGCTGAAAAAGGTGAAAGATGAAAAGGAGCGGTGTTAACAAGAACGAAGCTGTGACTCAAATAGCTGTGAAATGAAATGTTATTTGTGATAACGTGATTGTTTCGCAGCACTTTTCGTTCTAAATCGCAACTGTGAAGGGAGGTGCTGCATTGCTGGGTTTTGTGGGAATGCACCTGAAGCGCATGCTCCATGATGGCTGCTGTTGCCTCTGGCTCCGCTCAGACCCACCGAACAGAAGGACCTCTGCGGCTTTTCATGACACGGTCAATGGAGAAGACAGACAGTGACAGTAATGCCCCTCGTTCTACATTTTTACAGAATCCTGCACTCACACTCTCAGTTGTTGGTCAGAGACTACACACCCTTTGTACAAAGGCAACACCCCTGAAAAAGGAAAATAAGAAATTACAAGAAGGCTGTTTCCCTGCAGATTTACTTACCACCATACAGTTCTTGTGGTTCATAACTGCATATTATATCTTCAAGTGAAAGTGAAATGAAAAAGGATCTTTAAGTAAGATCCTTTTTCATTAACTGTTATAACTATATGCAAATTATTTTGACCTTAAATAAACAATAAACAAACCAAAGCACTCAAAATCTTTAACTTAAGCAAGGAAAAAGTCATTTGGAAGATAGCACACAGAACTGCTGAAGTATAAAAAAGGAGGGCGTACTTATACTATTACAGTTAGTAAATAATCTAAAGTTCACACACACACACACACACACACCTATATATAGCTCTATCTCAATACTGATAGTCACACGGTAAACTTCCCATAATTCCTTTAAAAACTGGTTTCCCCATAGCTCCAACACACTCAGTCCATTGCAGGTCTGTGTCAGTGTGGCATTGTTCCAGGTTCAGCTACAGCCACAGCCCGGCGGGGGCACAAAAACACCGTGCCAGGTTCCTGTGTGGGATCACTGCTTGGCTGTAGCTGTGTCTTCCAAGAGAGCTCTCATGTCCAACAGTGCTTCCTCTACAGCCTGGGCAAAGTTGGCAGCATTTGTCTCCTCGCAGCTGTTAAAGGCTGTGATGGCGATGTTGATGTGCTCATCCATGGGATTGTAACACACTCCATAGCCATCTGGCACCATTGGACCAAAGCACATCACACAGTCTGTCTTGGAGCCAACCTGGACATCGAGACGGGAGGGATGAGGGCAAACATGCAAGTAAACAAATATTACAACACATTATCCCTTGCTCAGCAGTAACAGACTGGGGCTTTTCTTAGATGCAAATATACCTGGCTGGTGGAGAGATTAAAATGATTAGCCACAGCATAAGAAGTGTCCATAAATATCTCAGGTATAGAGGTCAGGTCTTCTATGCTCTGCCTCTTGAGCCCAAGAAGGTGTCTGTCAATGCCCTGCCCATGAATTGCCTGAAAAAGCAATGGTGAGCATGTTAAAGTGATATTTATCAAGTAGTTAAAAAGTGGTTGTTTTGGGGATTTCAGCACTCACGTTGTACGTGTTTTCTTTATGTGTCTGAATGGCCTTCTGCAGCAGTGCCAGCTTCTCTGCGCTCTGTTTGAACATTTACTGCTCAGTTTTAACCATCACATTTAAAATGTTACATCGCTTATGAGATCCCATCATTTTTACTAGTACCTGTTTAGCTGGGTCTTGCATTGCCTGGACAAATTCAAGCGACTCTGCAGTAGTTGAGCGGATTGCATCTGTTCGCCCATATTTGAACATTCTTAAGGAAGCACTCTCATAGGTAGAGCAGCAAATATTATAGATCCTGGATTGAAAAAAAAAAAGTATATCATGCGGTGCACTCAGTGTCTGCATCCCACAGGACCTTTTCCCCCCTTTCAAGAGAGCGGACTTCTCACCTGAAGTACGCCAGCTGAAGAGCCATTTGCACAAAGGCATCTGGACTGAGCTTATGCTTCTTTGGCACATTTTTTCCAAAGTGAGAAAACACAAGCACTTTCACATCCAAGTCGTGTACCATTCTGACAAAAATGAGAAAAGAGGGAGTCAAAGAAAATGTCTGACATCAAAGCCCAAATGACGACAACAACAACAAGAAAACTACATTCTGACTGCACAGCATGACATACATGTTCATATTTTGTTTGGCCTTCTCAATATCTCTCTTGACCTCGGGTGTAATGTTAAAACGCAGCTTCTGGGGCATGGGCAGGGGAATCATGGGAGCGCGACGGAATTGAGTCCTCTGCCTGTTGAGAAAAACATGACCCGCCGAGTCAGTGTGAGCTCATCATAAACACGAAGAAACACTAGTCTAAAATCTGAAATAAACTTACATGTATTTAATAACGTAATCGATGAGAAACACGATGGGTGGACCCTCAGCAGGTGCATGTTCATACACCAGTCCACATGCACCGTCTTCACCAACAATGAACTGAGGACGATTTGCAGGTACATTCAAATTCTCAACCATTGCCAGAATCCTGTTTATTACTTTGGATCTGTGAGCATTGCGCTCTCTTAAACTGACCTGTAGCGTCTTATCAAACCAGCGGTTGCCACTGTTCCAACGAGCACCTCCTCCATGCAGAATCTGGGCAGCTACGCGGCTCAGATACAAGTCATCAGACACCCGCAGCATTGGAGCATCCAAACAAACTGTAAAAATACTTTTCTGGATGGCACGGACTGAGTCTTTATTCGTCCTATCTGAGAAGAAGAAAAAAAGGGGGAAATGGAACTTGTGAATCACAAGATTCTGACAAAAAATGCTTTCTATCTATGAAATACATCTGGGTGATACTGTGGCTTGTCCTCACCCTTAATCAGGTTATTATAGGCTTTTCCCCAAGTGTTGCGGTGCTGTGATGTGAGGATGCCAATCGGTTCTTTGTTAGTCTGCAAAGAGGAGTTCCAGATCTTCTCCAGCTGCATATAAATCTGATCCACTGTTAGTGCAGTGCCATCACTGTTGTACACATCTAGGACAAAAAACTAGAAGAGAAGCCGGGTTGATTCAGTAACAGATTTAGTTTATTACTCCTTTTCTTCATAATGACTATAAAAAAAATCAGGATCTTCATAAATGAAGAAAGAACTGCAGTGCCATCTAGAGTACCTGGAAGTTGTGGACCACAGTGATGTGAGTCGGAGGTGTTTTTCCACTGGCATGATTTAAAACGGTATCTCTCTTTGGTCCAGGAATACGACAAGAAGACAGGATCTGGTAATACTGGTCCATACAAAGAGGCTTCCCACTCAAATACTCTACAGGCAGAGTCTGACTACAACACAGTAACTAATATTATTCATTTGCAGTTTTGAAAAAAACAAACCAAACAAAAAACAGCTGCAGGCCATGGTGATAATGAGCTTATTGCTACAGCAGTACAATGTTTGTATTGATTTCAGGCAAACTCACGTGTCAATCATTTTTTTAAAGTCCAAAACTCCTGCAATTAATTTGGCAGCAAACCTGCAAAAAATAAAAATAAATAAATAACAAGTCAGATTATAGATTACTACACATAATGGTCAGTGTATGCTTTGTTTTGCATCAATGCTCCTAAAGCTAGCGCTCATATATAGTGTTCACAGACGGAACAAAATCAGTCATGAACTATGAATGGAGAGGAACACAGTTAAATTCTTAGAAGCTAAAAGTAAAAACAAAACAAAAACAAGCACAGCTTGTTTACCACAGTCTCATATGTTTGGCACATATATTCTTATCATCTTCATTGTTATTTTTGCATTACATCTCCATGGTGCCCCTATGTTCACGGCATATCCCATGGGTCACAGCATTCAAAAACAGCTGAGCAATGGTATGAGAAGCCCTGGGGCTTTAAATAGCCAGCATGTGGAGAGAAGACTGTGCAAAGGTCAGCTTAAAATGAGCTTGTACTGTAACTTCAACACAAAGTAAATCACTTTTTAAAACAGCTTAATAGCTGTGGTTATATTCAGACAATTAAACTTTATAACTGGTACTGCTGGAGCCCCGAAAATTTACTGCACGCATTACAAGTGCTGGGTTTTTTTAGTGTTTGTGGGCCTGTGATTATTAAGATAAGCAGTTTGGATACTGTACGTGCATGCTGGTTTCTCACCTCATTTGACCTTGACGATCATGAAAGTGCATCTGTGGCAGGACTACTCCAGGGCTGGTGTAAACTGCCACTGGCATACGGCAATCCAGGTAGGCCGACTGCATCCACCATTCTGTTAACTACACAAACACAGCTGTAGTCAGACCAGGGTGAAAAAAAGAATTACTTTAATTTCTTAAACAGCCAAATTAAACATGTATTTAGTGTATGTAATTACAAAAGACAGATTCTTCTGTCAAAAGACTGCTTTTACACTCATCATGTCTACGCTGATACATAAAAGTTAAATAAATCCAATTATCTACCCAGTTGTCCGTCTTGCGTGCCCGCCTTTCCAGTCCCTTTTGAAGCCTTTCTCCTACACCACCCTTAAGGAACTCCTGTACCACCTTCCTGGTGTGATCCATCTCTTCATCACTGACGAGGGGCTCCAAAGCTGCGAGGTAGCGCTCACACGTTTGATTCAAGGGTGGCACAGGTAGCTTAGGCAGACCCTCTTGGTGTGTCAAGGGCCTTGCAAGGATCTGCGTTACGGTTCTGACTAGGTGACATGGCTTCACCATACCTGGCCGCATCTATAAGATAATATCTTGTTAAGTTAAAAACTCTTCTGTTTTTTCTGCTATTACACATTAAATTGGAGTATTACAAATGGATTTAGAAAGTCTAGAAAGTTGAAGGTGTCATTGCTATTTGAAGTGGCTCATATTGTAGCCCAACAGACAGTTAAATATATAAATAGCCCAGTACATTCATACATGAGTGTGAATACTGAAATGTAATCTTACTGATAATCTCACTGGGGCTCGTTAACCCTGCAGATTAATTGAATATCTTTAACCTCAAGTGTCAACATGTTGTTTAGTGCATGCAATCTAAGACTGCAGACATTAATGAGTCGCTGCAAACAGGTTTAAGCAAGAACCAGCTTCGGGCGTTGTGAACAACGGTAAATAACTTAGACAGGCTCGTGCTTTACAGTGAGATGATGATTTGGTGCATGAAAACGGACACCAAAACAACCGACAGAAGCAGCTATACTATTCGGACTAACTGGTGTTAGTCTCTGCCAGGTTATAAATAGGTTGACACAGTTGAACCTTCGGATGGAAGCTACAACAAAAACACACCAATATAAAGTCGTTATACGATTTATTGACCAAAATTAAGAAGATACATTCCTTTGATATCCCATTTGATTTAATATTACTCCAAATAAGGTTGAATTAAATACGTAACGGTTAGAAAAAAATGTAGGGATATTTATGTCAAGCTGGAACACGACAATTAACTTCCGGTTAGCGATATCAAAATAAAGTTATTGCTAAATATTTTTGTGTATTTATTGCACTCCACCACAGAAAAGATGGAAGAATGTGGATAATACTGGGGGGATGACTCCGAGTCGACTAAACCTGCCGTCACATTGCTGTTTCCCATGTCACGAACTAAGCTAACGCTAAGTTACTCTATGCTACGCTAAGCTAACGCTATGCAAAATGTTAGCTAACCCCCTCCCCGAAAAAAATAAAAAATACTCCGTTATATTCCTTAACGCACAATTTAAATGCACACGTTGGGTGAACGTAAGTTACATTTTAACCTACTGTTGCCACATTGTTGCTATTCTGCACAGCGCCCCTCCCTCTTCACTCACTCACTTGACCTGATGTCGCAAAATCAAACGTAACGTTACTGCGCTTTTTTAACACGCACTTAAAACACACGCAAAGGGAGAAAAAAGGAGGACTCACCGCGGCTCTGACAAAAACACCCAGCATCTTGTCAGACGGACGCGCTAAAAACTTGAACTGTCCCGGGAATATAGATGGGGAAACCTTCGGGCAGTCATGTCTCAAGGACAAGCACTCTGCGCTCAGCTGTCCGCCCCCCGTCGGATACAGCAAACAAAACAAGCGCTCTCTCTCCTCGAAAAGTCGTGTTTTTCTAGGTGGAGTTTGGCACACGTGAGACTGCTGTTTCAAAACAAATAATTACACTAAACCTCTACCCGCATGAAAGCTTCCTCAGCTCATTGTTTTATTCATTTTAGGAAAAATGGATTCAAATGCTCCACAAGAGCTGCTAATAAGCATTTGTCTTTTACTACTTCTGGTTATTGTGTTCTGAAATTGCATATTAAAACCTCCAAGTTCAGTGAAATGATGGCACATTTACTACTAATAATAATAATAACTGTAATAATAATAATAAGAAGAAGAAGAAGAACAAAAACACAAGATCTGTCTGTATTTCTAAGTTGACCGCGGCGCCCTCTTTCCAAGTAATTTCAAGTCAATGCATGTGTGTTTTTAGACGGGTTGTTTTATTGATTAATCAAAGCAGGCCCTGATATAAATATATATTTACATAATAAGAATAAGAATTCTCGTTGAACTGTTGCACGAAGCTGCACAGATCTTCTCTGGCCACATGGTGGTAGTCGTCCAACATCTTTCCAAGGAGAAAACAGCATTCACTTATTTCTCCAGGAAATACAAACCAGTGACTCCGGTTTTCCCGCAGAAAAAAATAATTTAAAAAAATCACCACCACAAAGTAATATTTAAATAAAGGTTACAGTTTAGTCATGCTGTGTAGAAATTATTCGCACTAGCACAGGAAATGTCAATGTGCAAAAAGTAATGGAAATGCATATGACCATTCGGTATAATTTCAGCACTGTTTTTGTATAAAAAGTCCAAGAGAACTGCAGTCGTGTCATGATTTATTTAAAAGCAGCAAAATAAAACGATACAAAGAAATTAAAAACACACAGTCATACATATCAAAATGCTTCGATTGCTCTGGTCCAGCCGCTGCCTGTTAACAGCGTGTGTTTTAAACAAATTGTTTGAGTGGCGAATATTTGCTCAAGGTCCGTTTGCTGCCAACTCACAAACTCAGATAGCCCACCTGAGCCCAGCACCGAGATCAGGTTGGAGATGTTTGTGCTGTCCAACTGGTCAGAGTCTGAATGTGAATCATCATCACTCCTCATTCTTTTACACGGCACTGGCGCAAAGTCTGGCAAATAAAACTCTGGATCAACGATATGATAACTTATGTCAATCTTTCGCTTTTTTGTGTAGCACTGCGCGCCCTGCGGCTGTTTGGGCTGCGCGCAACAGTCTGTGTGGAAGTATCCGTTCGTGACAGTAGTCACCACATGGGTGTCCAAGTCCAGGACAGTCTTTTGGTTGGCTTGCGTGTTCGGGATAGATAACTCCCAGGAGGATTTGTCCGCACAGCTCCAACAGGCGTCCGAAACCATGAGGTCAGAGTCACTCGGTGAATCCATTGCGCAGGCAGATGCGCCTTGGTGCGCCACCTCTGCAGGCTGACCGTTGGGCTGGTGCGCTCCGCAGTGCCAAGTGTCCGACTCAACCCCAGTAAAGTTGCAGTAGAAGTCATCAGCCAACTCCGTGAAGCTCCCCGTCCATTCGAGGTATTCTTGCCTTTCTCGGACTACGGTTACATCCTCGTACGGATTCGTTCTCTGCATCTGCGACAAGTTTTTGCTCATGTAGAACTGCCTGGCGTTTCTCAGTACGTACGTTACCAGTAAGTTCTTGTGGAGCTTGATGCCTCCTCTCTGCGTCCTGGAGCTTTGGATTTTCCTCAAAGAAATGGAGATCAGATTCTGTGCTTCAAATGCACACTCCATCCTCAGTCGGGCCACCCTTTCTTTGCTCTCGGTCTCTCAAATCGTTTGTTTCCAAACTGGAGAAATAGTGATGCCTTTAGTTGAGATTCCTATCAGATTCGTGTAGACTGTGTCCATAGCGCTCCATGTCTTCCCAGTAAGGGCATGGATTTGCAACTCTCATCTTTCCTTGCCACGCCCTCACGTACACATTGTCCAATGGGAGGGAGGAGGTGCTTCTGTTATACGCAAATATCACTACTAGCCTCATTCAAAATGCACGTAGGAGCAGGCAAGCTGGATTTCACTAAATATGATCTTTTTAAATCTCAGTGCAGACAAATAAGAGACTTTGGAGTCCGCACTAAAACAGAAAGCAATGGAAGGTGGAAGAACAAGCAGAGGCGAATGTAGCGGGGTAATACAATAGAGTGAGATAGCGTAATGGGATGTAATTTATAAATATAACATGTACTAAAATGTAATAACAAATAAGAAAAATATTAGATGATGTGGATGTAGAATATAAGTAGAGAGGATGAACATTAAAACAGAGTTAAGCTTGCATTTTATAATATCAACATTATCTACTTTACTCAGTTTCTTGACTGTTCCAATCATGTATCTTATTATTTTCCAAAACAGTTTATTACTTTATCATTTTATATACTGAGGATTCTTTGTCTACTATATTGTTACATTTTATATTACAATGTGCTACCACAGTACAACACTATACTATACTACATTTTATGGCTGCTTGATGGCAAAAATCACAATTACACTTAACAGGATCAAAGCTGAGATTATAACGATTGAATCTAAAAGATAAAAAACTGATTCTATTATTTATTTAATTGTCTTTTAAACAGCTGGTTTATGAGAACTTAATTTTAAAAAACTGCCCTAATTCCACAAAATCAACTAAATAAATACATTTAAAACAAATAATAAGGTGAACTAAAGAAGTTTGGGAGGGAACAATATCACTATATTATATGGTATATTGCAATATAATATGATATGACACTATAAAACATGGTACTATGCCACGTTATTCTACATTATACTATAGTAATCCAAAGTTAGGTCCAAAGGTTGTTGGATAAAGATGCTATTTTTTTTTATTTTTTTATTTTGCCTCTGTACACCACCATGATGAATTTTAAATTAAACAATCAAGATGCAGATTTTCAGCTTTGATTCCAGACGTTTAACAAAAGTATTACATTAACTGTTAAGGAATTAAAACCATTTTCATATATACATATATCTAGTCCCCCATTTTTAGATGTGCAAAAGTAAATCGACAAACCTTGAAGATTTGTGTTAATACTTGGATAAAAATCATTTGCAATCAATGACTGCCCGAATCCTAGAACTCATGGATACACCCAAAATGCTGTGTTTCCTCCTTTGAGATGTTCTGCCAGGTCTTTACTGAAGCTGCCATCAGTTGCTACTTGTTTGTGGTTCTTTCTGCCTTCAGTTTTATATTTAACAACTGAAAAGCATGCTCTACTGGGTCCAGATCAAGTGACTGACTTGCTCAGTGAAGTATATCCTATTTCTTTGTCTTGAGAAACTCTTGGGTTTCTTTTGCAGTTTCCTTTGGCTCATTATCCAGTGTTGTCTGATCAGTTTTTAAGCATTTAGTTGTACCCAGCAGTAAGTATAGCCCTGTACACTTCAGAGTACTTCAGTACACTTCATAATACTACTTTTATAAGCAGTCTACTTCAATCAATAAACACTAGTTACTCGGTTCAATTGGCAGCCATGTCCATGGCATAATAATGCTTTTCCTAACCTTTCCATTTCCATATTTTTCTTTCCCCATCATTCTGGTACAAGTTAATCTTGATTCATTTTCAAAATAACTTATGTTTTCCAGAACTGTGCAAGTTTTTTTTAAATGTCTTCTGGTAAAGTCTGTCCCTCTTGTTCTTGAGTGTAACCAGTGGTTTGCATCTTCTTGTAAATCCTCTGTATTCGTATTCACGAAGGTCTGCCTTGATTGTAGACACTGAAAATGAAACACTTACCTTCTCAAGACTAGTCATGATGAGGTTAGATGGTTGTAATTCTTAAACAGTTAATGTAAAATGTTTGTTAAACCCTGTAAATTAAAGTTGAAAATCTGTGTAGAGTATGGTTTCTCTCTATTTATGCTCTATAAAAATCACCTCTACAGCTTATTTATTTATTTATTTATTTCTATCTTTTATTCTGACATTTTCCCCACTAGCATTTCACTCATATTGCCATTTAGCTATATGTTACTGTATTGAGTTTACTTGTCTCATTTTTCCTGTGATTGTAACAAATAAAGCCCCTCTGCACATTTAGTTTGGCTGCTTTTCGTGTTGGTATATTAATTACAAATGTGCTTGGTGATTTTTTTTTTTTAAAGTACTTTCTTTGTGAGAGACTCACAGTTACAGTTACAGGTATCCGATCTCCCAGTTTTCCCTAAAGCCACTTTTACTCTGTCTTTCAATACACTAGAATATGCTGCCCATTAAGCTGTAGTTTACAGGATTATTCTTATTTCACATTAATATAATAAACCTATTATCTGTGCTCTGATTAAACCAAGGCACCTTAACAGTCTAGGATCTATGTTTTATATTCTATGTTACTTGATGATGATGAAAAGGTTGGGTATGGGAACATGACTATATTCTATGTAACTGTATGAAGAACGTAATGTAACAAGTCACCAAATTCAAGAATTATATAAATATGTTGTTACTTGTGTTACAAGGTTCTTCACTTATCTGTGCACATGGCGGAAAGAAAGAAAAGAAAGAAACAAATCATTTTTTTGATTTGGTTTCAGTTTCTGTGCAGGAGGAGGGCCACGGTGGAGTGGTACAGCAATACAGGTTGTGATCAGTGGAGCTATGGACATTACTTTTATGTTTTTTTGCTCAAAAGGATGAAACCATGATGGTAAAGTGGAAACTGCATCAAGGACATAAACAATCACATTATAGTGCTTACAAAACTTCAGCTCTTTGCATGCATCTGCACAGACAGCATGCAAACACAAAGATAGCCAAGAAGCCACATTGACATTATGCTGAGTGCATGTTGACCCCAGCCCAGCAGCCAGAGCCTGATCTTCAACAGGTAACAAAAGCAGTGATGAGCAGTCCAGCTTGAAGTCTCTGTTTTTATCAGTTCATGTTTCTAAAATAGGACCACTCTCTTTGGGCTGGTTTTTACCTTTTCTTTCCGTTGTTACTTTTTTGATCAAACATAAGCCTAAAAGAAAGATGTTATGTCTGTCCTCGTTAGGGTAGGGGTTTGTGTTGGTGTGTGGGACTGGAGCCTCGGGTTTAAGCTGTAAACTGACTATGTCATTATGAGACATTTATGTGACCTTTCACGGAGTAATGAGAAAGTCTTGTAACGAGCAGTCTAACTACTTTAATTTAATTTTTTTTTAAGTAATATGTAATACGTTACTTTCGCTTCCGCTTCCAAAGGGTCTGCTCCATTTTTTCCTCCTGCCACATCTCTGCCACTTTTTTTTGCGATTTTGTTGTGATACTAGATCCCACCTGCAAGTAATTTCAGTGATATGGATGGGTGGCTCCTTTACTAAGTCTATGCCCCATCTAACACTACCAGTCTTGCTTTGTTTTAATCAGGTCACTCATTCCCTTCACAGTCTTATAGATTTCAGTGCCAAGTAAACTTAATGCACATAGAAGTAGCCAAACCACTAGCCGTCCCATTCATTCCGCTGCAACCTCCCATTCCTGCCACTGTTCTCAATAATCAAGTTTTTGCTCTGATCACTCATGAGACAGAACCAGTCCACTTAATCTAATCCGGTAATCATTTGAAGACTCTTTCATTCTACATTTTTGATTCCCCAGAGACCCCTCTGATCCTTGGTTATCCATGGCTAAAGAAACACAACCCCCATATAGACTGGTCTGGTGATAAGATCGCAAGCTTTTCTGTCTTGCCAACTGCCTAAAATCGGCACTACCTTCCGGTTCACACAAACCTTCCTCACCAATCATTCCACCCCCCATATCTGTCCTCCAACCCTAAAGAGTACCACAACCTCCAAGAAGTTTTTAATAAAGACAAAGTCTTGTCACTTCCCTCTCTCAGGCCCTACGATTGTACCACTGACCTTCTCCCCGGGGCTCTGTTACCCTCTAGCTGCCTCAACAACCGGTCTCAGCGAGGCAATGGAAAAATATATTTGTGCGTCATTGGCTGCCGGCATCATCCATCCTTCCTCCTCCCCGGTAGGTGCTGACTTCTTCTTCATTGCCAAGAAAAGTAAGACGCCTGCATTTATTATAGGGGATTAAACAACATTACAGTTAAAAACAAGTGTCCATTACCACTCATCAACTCCGCTTTTGAACACATCCACAGGGCCACTACTTTCGCCAAACTAGACCTCTGAAACACTTATCACCTCGTTCATATGAGGGAAGAGGATACATGAAAGACTGCATTTAATATGCCATTGGAACATGTTGAGAACTTGGCGATGCATTTGTAAATGATGTGTTGAGGTATTTTTTTGAACATTTTTGTCTTCGTATATTTAAATGACGTTTTTTTTTTCCATGTCCCTTGAGGAATATCAGATCCATGTTCATAGTGTCCTACAACGTCTCCTGGAGAACTGCATGTATGTCGTGGCAGAGAAATGTGAGTTTCACTCTTCCTTGATCTCTTTTCTGGGTTATATTTTGGCAGGAGGACAGACCTCCTGAAGGTAAGGGGCGGAAAAAAAATGTCCTACTCCCACGTCTCTAAACCATCTTCAGCGTTTTCTTGGATTTGCCGACTTCTACCGCCATTTTATCAGGAACTACAGTCAGGTAGCCACAACTCTTACTCATCTCAACTCTACCAAAATCCCCTTTGTTTGGTCCCCAGAAGCTGAGGCAGCTTTGTCAAACCGAAACAACTCTTCAGCTCTTCTGTACCCGTCCTTGTCCACCCAGATATCGTGAAGCAGTTTATTGTGAAAGTGGACGTCTGTGATTCAGTTCCTGGAGCTGTGCTCGCTCAGCAGTCTGGACCTCAAGGTAAGCTGCAGCCTTGTGCTTTTTTCTCTCACTGACCAACACCCCCAGAACAAAATTATGATGTACGAGATTGTGAGTTACTCGCTGTCAAGTTAGCCTTAGAGGAAT